CAACGCCCATTTTAAGTGACAATTATCCTCACGACAGTGAGTAGGAAGATGGCTGCCTTCTGGATTGTCGCACCCTGATGATGGAGGGAGCAAGGACCTGTGAAACGCTGGTGAACTTCTGTCAGACTACACGGCGCTACAACCCAGAAGACAGCCATATTCTGGATTCGTATGGCTCAAGATAGGGACCGGTGGCGATGTGATGTGAACACGGCGTGGAGGAAAAGCTCCTTACATTCTCCAGCAGTAGAACGTAAGAAGTGCAGGAGCTTTGTACTCCAGCTGAGAATCGAATTTCGGTCGTCAGTACCACAGCCAGTCATTTTGCCGACTTGTTCTAATTTAGGCGTGACTCCCTGACCCAAGTTGATCCTGACCTAATATTAACACTTCGCTAAGATAAATTTAGGTTTCTGCCAGAAGTGGGGCGGTTCAGAGCCATTAGAGACCATCAGTGTTGTAACCAGCTATCTTGAGGGTGTTCGTTGTCTTCCCCAGTCGTTCCGTGTTAATGCGTTTCTCTTCAAACAGTTCCACTACATGCTCCATCAGCTCCTCTGATGTGTTTTCTGCGCGCAGATTCAGTCGTGTTGTGCCATCTTTGTGATTACAAATAGTACACCTGATAGCAGAAAAAATGCTTTGCTCATGTCATCAGTATCTGGCAGTACTCCAGCTTCGACTGTTCAACTTTGATGCAGGGCATCAGATCAAGAAGTAGGACGCGTCTCACTGATGAACACTTGCAGCGATGCACGTGAATCGCGACAGAAATGAGCGTGGATATTGTCAAGTCAAGGCAGTGTCAGATATGCCACTGCATCAAACAAAACTCTAGAGTAATGTGCAAAGTTGTTTGAAATATGAGAAACGTGGCATCAGGGTCATGAGAAGGGCGTAGACCCTAATAAGGACCATCTTCCACATTTATAAATATTTCACATTCATTAAAGTCAATTATGACCCCATTTTCCCGCTAATGTGAATTAATGTAGAATGCGCAGCTGAGAGCAGCAGTAAGTGGATCCCTTTCTTTAATTAATTATTTATTTGTGTTTTATTTAACGATGTTAGTAGCTTAAACAGATTCTAGGTCCCACTCGATTAGATAAGACACTTCGAGTAAAAGTATGTGATAACTGTGTATTTTTATTTTCTTTGCAGTGACATCTTGTCCGAGCAGGATATTGAGGTACGTAACTGCATGCAGTGGACCAGTATGAGAGAGAGTGCCGGAGAAAGAGGCAGACGTGTGTGCCCTCGGTATCGGTAGCTGTCTTGTTGAACCAGGCTGTATTCTTTGCAAATAAAGAGACGAGACTCATCCCTTGCTGACTCAGCTAAGATTTTATTGTAGTGATACGAGTGAATTTTTAATCGAGTATTTCAAAAGATCCCAGTGGAGATTAGAATTGTCTCGTGTTTGAAGATCACGAGCTGTTTTTTGCCATGTGGAGCACATGATATCCTTGAAGTTGCAGGATGTTGCACATAATTTTCTGAAAACCGTCCTTCCCACACATAGAAACGTCAAGTAATGACATCCATGAGGCTGCACATGGAAGTCCGTACAGGGTGCTCAGCACACATCGGCATCTTTCTACCAGAGTCTACTTGACAAACAAGTTGAATATGTCTTCTCCTTCATGTTCAGGAAGTTGCATGTTTCATGAGATACGCTATCGTGACTGAAGTTTTTTTCTTTTTATTTCCAGGCAAAATTCTGGTTTATTATTTTGAAATAGGTACTTGGAAAATGTCAACAGATGTACTTGCAGAGATGGAGGATGCTTATTCTTTGACACCCCTGCTCAGTTATTGACGTCATGATCTGTGTAAACAAACTGAAGCTACTTTGAAATTTTGCAGTCCTGTGTAATTGGAATGTTCAGTCATCTGTTTCATAAACACAGCAGATTGTGGGAAATTTTGCTCTTGCCAAGAGCAAGGGATAATATATGTAAGCAAAGTTGTGCAGAAACGTTTCGCTTCTTATACGTGGTTCGATCCCAAGGCAACACATCTGGAAATTAGGTGGAGAAATGCTATGTTCTTGTCCACATACATCAGTGCTAGTCAGCATGACACCATACTCTAGAGAGAGGGCAATAGACCCCATCCAGCCACACAAATCAGTTCACTTCACTGCTTCAAAAACTATTTCAAGGTCCATTTGAATATTATTCGTCTTCATGTTTACGACTTTCTAAACGGTTGCCCTGCCGACACCCTGTTGCTAATTTTGTCTCTCCCACGTTATGTAGATGTCCAGCCTGTCATAATGTACACTGCAGGTTGGCATATCAATAATTTTATGGACTGGAAAGTACCCAGTCCAAATATCCATCAGCGTACTTCGCATCTTGATTGAGGCTTTTTTTCTTTCCCTTAGTGTCCAGATCAGTTCAGCGAAAATGCCATTGAACATGCTGTATCCACCTCTTATGAAATCCTCTCCTATTCGTCTTTGATCTCATTTGACAATATATAACCTCAAAATTTGAAGTGTAGGAATCAATGTAGCAGCCACTGCAAATGCCTGAACAGTACTAGGTGGGATATAGGAGTGTAAATATTTATCTGTTTTCACCACCTCGTCTTTCTCACGTCTGACAGCTCTCCATTTAGAAGTACTCCCTGAGGCAGCATGATGTAAGGGACTGATTCTGATTGGTTGTGGTACTGTGTTGCAGAACAGGTTCTCTACCTTGTCACTGGCATTCAGAACAGACAAGTTGACGCTAGTGAGCCGCCATGAACGTCAGCAGCGACAGAGGGACCAGGCAGAAAAGAACATGGCTGCCGAGGTGATGAAACTGAAGGCCGCTGTCCACGTGAGTGTGTGTTCGCAGTAGAAGAGCTTTGATTTTTAAACATGGGAAACGTTTGCGAGGGTGGACCTAGTTTGGGGTGGGGGGAGACATTTGCTGTCAGATGATGATGTCGTGGGCCACTTAAATCCCACAGCGTGCTTCACTGTTAATATTATCATGTCTCTGTGGTATTCTGTGTGTGACTTTTCCAGGAGCATTCTACACCATCCTCCCACTGCAAGTGTGGATTGTCTTTCCTTAATTTAAATATTGTGTTCTGGTGTACCCTTTCCTCTTGCTTCCTCACTACGCTGATGATGGATGTAGAAATTACCTCTGAAACCTTAGTAAACTTCTACCAGACTACACAGCGCAACAACCTGGTAGATAGCCGTCTTCTTGCTCACCACCATGAGCACCTGAAATCTCGCATTGCGTACATCCTGCCTCTATCTTCAAGAATGAAGTTGTATTTGCGACTTGCTCCTTGGAGTGAATTTAAACTCTTGTTCACGCGGCATATAACTTCTGATCTATTGCAGAACCTCAACTACTTGTGCAAGGACTCAGAGTCGATTGAAATCCTGGGCAAGATCCAAGACCAAGTCGATGTTCTCCAGCAATCAACAGAGCGAGTGTCGAGCTCAGCAGAGGTATGCAAGAGCTCTGTCCTTTCAACAGTTTGTGGTTGTTTTAACATTCCTCTTAATATTCTATGCATCATCATCCTTACGTCTTATTTGACTTCTCAGACTAAAGTATTGAGAAGACTTGTTGATTCTGTTTCAGATATTTGGAGCAGTACAGCAGGAGAGCCGAGTGTCGAAAGCAATTGAGGTGATGTTAACACATGTTGAGAATCTGAAGCGAATGTACGAAAAGGAGCACACGGAGCTGGAGGAAACTAAGTGAGTGTGTGTGTGCGTGCGCGTGCTCCAGTGCAGTGTGGGATTAGGTGTGAACCTTGGAGCAGTGTAAACTAAGGTTATGTTATGTTGGCAGGCGAGTGTTGCTGGAAAATAACCTTGTCGTGGATGGCAGTGCGGACAGTACAGATGCCTCCCAGAGAAACGCACGGCATCGTGCTCTTAATGCATTGGCTGTCCAAGGAAAACAGGTGAGTAGCCTCACATGTTGGGAAATTTTTTTATGACTTTTGGGGTAATTTAAGTGTCTGTCTCATATCTCACCAGTCTCCAAAATTAGCCTGTTGTGGAATCTGAAGGTTCTTTATTGAATTCTCAGTATCCTGCCATTTGACCTTATTGTGAGGCACTAGAATCCAGTGAACACACTCACACTGTATCTTCCTCCAAAGGATTCTCGTCCCCTCAGTTTTCCCAGTGTTTGCTCTGCTACACAAATAATTGTTGTCAGAATTTTTTTAGTGCTGATTGCTTTGTGTTCCAGAGGAGGAGAGCAAGCATCGCAGTCTTTCGTGTCCTCGGTTCGCCAGATTCCACAAAGACTTCAAACACCTCCCTTACCTTTGGGGTATGTTCTGAAAGTTTCATTGTCATAAACAAATGCATTGTCCAGACGCATGTCACAGTGAAGACCTAAGGATCGTAGATCATAACAGAATTTCTTGATGAGTTGACTGCCTTCTTTACCTGAAAATTGGTTAATCACCACTTTGCTAGGTCCCTGGTTTCTGTTTCCTCTTACTAATCCTCATCCCACAATTTTTCTGTACTTGCATATCACCACCCAAACCAAGAAGCGCAATTTTGTATCCTCAGTACTAAGTAAGGGGCTTCAACTCTGACTGTCACTGGGTCTTATGTGAAGGAGCTTGTTTGTCTAGTTGTGTGGTTCCACCATGTCATTTTTATTCTTCACACTCGTACTCAAAGTGAAGATTACTATAACAGTGTTCTTTGTTTCTCTTCACACGCTGCGTCAGTCTTGGAGCAGCTGATGCGGTAAGCTCTCCTTCGGAGTCAAGATTCAGTTCGTGGCAGTATATTATGTTGTCTCTTTGAAAAATATGTAGTATTTCAGATACTGACTGTGTTTCTGTCTTCATGTAGAAAGAGATGGTGTGTACTCTGTGGTGCTCATTAGATGATGCTACCTCATACACAGACAGAAGCAAAGCCAGACTCTGAAACATTTTACATCGTATTTATTGCTGCACGTACATAAAGAAACTGCTTAATGTTTAACGAAGGAGAAGAGAACAGACATAATTGACATCGATATTCTCTGAAGATTCAAATAGTTTGTACCAAAACAGGACAGAAGGGAAAATAATTTGTTGGGAGATGGGAGTGCCTTGCATTTCATTATTCATCTGTTATGGCAAGTATGTTGTTACTAGTGAGTGAAATGTAAACAGCAACTCCAGTAACCATTACCTGACTCTTACCAGTTTAAGTGATTTAAATAATTCAGTACTAGCCAGACACTTCGATGATCATCTTCTCAGATTTCAAGTAACTCGCAGTGATTTTGTAGTAATGTTGTTTAAATCTCTTATCAATGCATCTCTCATCTATACTTTTCACATGTTTGCATGTATTTAGTTTAAAATGATTATACATTCGTATATAAATAGTTCTCTATGCACTAATGCTCTAATAGTTTTTGAGGACTTGGCTTTCCCGTAGCCCTCTCTTGCAGTTGCACACTATGACGATCTTTAAGAAAATGAGCAGTGCCTGTTGATTGAAGCTTAGAACTAGTAATTTAAAATGTTGTCAAAAGAAGACGGAATCTTCTGCTCTAAGTGTTTCTGAGATAACAAAGCCATGGTAAATATCCTTAACCCTGACCAACTAGCATTTGAAACATCAGAGAGATACCAGTCCCAATGTGTCGTCACTGTGAAACTTAACAAGTTGCATGCAGTGTTATGACACAGTCTGTTGTTTTTCATTCTACAGTTTCAGTGAAACAGGAATTCAGTGTTTCTTTAAGGTGCAAATTTTATAACATCCTCATAGTATGAAGTGTGTAGTGTATCACACAGTGTTGATGTAATATTGCAGGATACGAAGCGAGGTGCTCCTCACAGCCGCCGTACATTGTCCTCCCACGTGGAGAGTGCAGGCCCTGGTTGGGATTCCACAGATCGCTTAGAAAGGCAAGAGTGAGTTCTGCTTTTTCTTATTGGACACCAGACAGACGATATGATCCTGTTACTATCTTTGTTTACTTTACTTTATGAATTGATAATATTTTTGGACTTTTTATTTTTCCCGTTGAATAAAAAATCACAAAATTTTGTATATTGTCTGCGCTTTCATCATCAGTAAAAATCATCAAACTGTATGTGTAGGGTCCAGTGGATGAAGCCAATTTCAGTCAACAGACCCGTCTCCGTCAGTAGCTCATACTATACACCGTAAATTATTGTTGTTGACAGTTTGGCACCATAAATAGTTTATTATTGAAAGCAGTATTTGTACATAGTTGCATTGAACAAAATAATATTAACAAATTATGATATTATTGTCATCATGACACATTTAAGACAGATATTAGCTGCATTATAACACTTCAGAATGAGAAATCAAATCAGAAATGCTTTTGGGGAGTAACTGAGGAAGACTTAGCTCACGAACTTTGCAGAATGCTTGGCGGTAGCATGGATGACATCGAAGAGGTGGTAGACGGGCGACGTGAGAGTTCTGTTGACCTGGAGGAGCAGAGCACCACTCTGGAGGAAAACAACAACTGCACAAGTACAGTGAGCCGGAAGTCAAGCCGCTGTGATGGGTAACACATACAGAAATCTGCTGTCTCTCATCTTCCGTATCTCCTGCTTGTCCCTGCCATTTTCATTGGACTTTCTGCTTTTGCCTGTTTATCATTTATTCAATTGAAACATAATGTTGATAGAGTGTTGTAAAATAAACAAACTAATCCCATCGTGTCTCCATCTGGTCACTCCGTATCATTCTTTGTCTCTGATCATTATTTGACGTCTCTACTTTCTGGGCCAATCAAGTGCTAGGTGGGGATCAAACTGGTGGTTGGTCAGTCCTGTCACGCACCTCAGGAATTGAAGATGGCAGGCTTCTGGACTATTATGCCATGCAGTCTCATAAAAATTCACTTATTTCATTGGTGAGTACGTGCCTCCACCATCAGGATGATGAGGCAGTACGCACTTCCGAAACATAAGTCAACTTCTGTGAGACTACATAATGCAGTATCCCTGAAGGCTGTTATCTTCATACTTGCCACCATGAGAACCTGAAATCTCACCTTGGGAGTTGTGATGGACAAAAATGGAGAATTGTTTGAATGATATAAGTAGTTGAAGAAATCCTGTCCCAGCACTATTGCGTCTACCATAAATCCTGCATGGATTGCCCTACGATTGAACTTGCTGAGATGCCACATTGTCGTAGCATGAAGTTGGCCGTCTTCTGGGTTGTTGCGCCAAGCAGTCTGGTAGAGTTCTGCCACACTGCTCGGCACAACAACCCAGAAGATAGCCGTCTTCAGACTCGCTGCTGTGAAAACCTCAAATCGTATGTTGTCATATCATTTTTACATATTGCTTTAATTTTCCTTCCTTGCTTCCTTCTGTTATTTTCTTCTTGAAAATGTATATTTGATAATGTTTCACTACTCTGAATGCTGCCTTTTCTCTCATGACGAATTCTCCCATTATTGAATTGTACGCTATGCTGTCGCAGTACATCAGAAGTTGGCAGTGAGGATGTCACCTTTAGTTTTGGGAACACAGACAACAATCCTACACGGTCTTGTGAGAGAACGGAAGACTGCGCCGTGGACTCTGACTGTTCTCCACCATCCCTCACGAGGAATCTCGGCTCATTACGTTCCTTCAGGTACCTCCCACAGTCTTCAAGAAGATGATTAGTTGAATGAAAAGTAGGGGGGAGAAGTGTTTCAATAAAAGTACAGAGGGTTTTTGTGAGACAGGGTTGCAAGATGGTAGCTTTTAATAGCAGGTGATAATGTGTTGCAGGGACTGTGCGAGGGAATTCATATGCGAGATGCACACAACAATAGTCGAGTGCATGGTACCCATGAACGTGGACTACGTGTTGATCCAGACACGGCGCTGTGCCACACTTTTGCTCCTGTTTGCAGCACTCTGGAGCCTTGTATCCACATTTGTGCCAACAACAGCACAATCCAGTAATTGTGTACCATTCTCCTGGTTGACTTTGAAAGATATACTTCTTCCATATACGCAACTACGGCATTATGGTCCCCCACCCACATAATAGCCATACCTTATCTCGGTTCTGACACGAGGGGCTAAGCCCCCCAGTATTTAAGGGCTCACCTTGTTTAGATGTAAACTGATGGCACCAAAGCCAAGTGGATATTTTCAGTTAAGCATTTGGAACTGTATGAGCGTATGATTTTGTTCATGAAAATGTACAGTGATATTTTGATCTGTCAGCTTTTTGTTGTTGTTGTTGTTGTTGTTATCTTCAGCAAACTTTTAATTATGCTGGTCACTTGCCAACTTCAGTAGTGTATTTATTCATCTAGGTTAGTATGTGTAATTCTGTGTTTCATGTGTTGAAAGTAATTGTCATTAAATTTTCAGCAATTTGAAGTCGGCTGATTTGATCGATAACAAATGTCTACTTGATATTTGTTCTTTGCATGACTTACAGAAAAATGAATACGCATAGTGCTGAATCTGTCCACATTTCAACCTGAGATCCATTGGATGGATTTTAATGAAATTGGATATGAGTGTGATGATATTGTAAGCCACCCCAAAGTCACACTTCTTACTTTTCTGCAGTCAGTAGTAACATGTCAAACACAAACTTGTGAGGTGGGAGAACCACTTTATTAATATAAGGTGGTTTGGGGACAATGCAAACACATTTATCGAGTTTCTGTATGAAATATTTTTGATAACCTAACAATAAGAAACACGACAACTTTGTAGATCTCTTGACTGACTTGCGTAATGCGGATCATGTTTCTTGCTCCCAAATCAATCGTGAATAATAGAGACTCGAACTGTTTTGAAACAGACTGTAAAAAATATTTCTGTGTACAAAATTGCAGTGCCACTGCAAAACAGACATTGATGGACTTCACAATGAGGAGGACAGATACTTCTCAGTTTGTACTCATCGATGCTCAGGTGATTAAATCAGAGGATGAGGTAGACACTGGAGAAACAAATCATGATCAGAACTTCATTTCTAACATATCATGTAAAGAGACTGACTAGCTCGTAAACCTATAGTCTAAAGGGAAAACAAAAAGGATATTAAAAGGACAGAGGCTTTTATGATTGCTTGGGTCCCAATGGAATCCACTGTAGAGATTGTAGCATCAAGTCGTAAGGAAAAACATTTTTATTACACTTGGTATCATTCGCCTGTCATAAACATATGCACATTTCTTTCGGAACTGACCATTCGAGCAGCACGATCAGTTCCTACAATAGCAGCCAACTGCTGAACATCGTACTTGGAATAAAGCACTGTTACGGTTGTGTTGCTTTCATTACCAGATTCTTGGTTCTGGTTTGTAGCCTGAAAGGAAGATGACGTATAAATATTTAACTTTACATGGTGCATTATCTCAGAGAACAAGTAGCTCTGTTACTTTTCATGAAGATGACACTTATATGGATAAAAGACATGGACTTAAAATATTACTAAGTACTGTCTATGCTCATTGGCCCTCTTAACAGTGCAAAAGAACTGGATAAGATAAAAGCTGAGGAGTAAGCAAGCACCAGTGAATGTCCGCACACTCATCCATTGCCCTTTACCTGAATAAAATTGCACATCTCACTGTAGAAATGTGGGAAAGTTGGCGGCTGGTAGAAGATAATATGTAGGATCCCTTTGATGGAAGGACGCCTGAAGAAATGAAATCTCTCACTATAAAGCAAGAAATGGGCTTCGGCATGGAAAAACATGTCTCTTGCCCTGGCTATCTTGCCATCCTAAGAAAATAAAAATAAATTAATCTGCCTTTCTAGTTTTAATGTAACAATAATGCCAAATTATGTCCCCCAAATATCTACAGAAACGGCTGTCAGAGATATTTCATGGGCAGGTGTAAAATTCAATCCTGTGACATTTCAAATTTTCATTTGGCAGGGAAAATGTAGGAAACTTATAGTGAAACATCAACCACGGATATTCCAGCCGAGAGTGGCCGAGCTTCGGTTGCTTCTGTAAACGTACTGTCGTGCCTCCACGAACCAATCGGCTTTAGAGTTTGCACATGCTGTTACTACCAGGTCACTTTACTGGTATTAAACCATATTCTAATAATAGATAATTTGAAGACTGTCACAGTCCTACAATCTATAAGTGCCCAATCCTCTTTCATTCATTCAGACGTATCTTGATACTTCTTACCTTTGAATATTCACATATTTGCACAAAGCCCAAGCCTTCTCTTTTGAAGTAGTTTCTCAGTCTTACATAATCAAAGTATGATGGAACATAAATAAGAACATGACTAGTAACTGAGTCTTTATACTGTGGAAGGATTTTCTTGATGAAAAAATCAAATCTTCCGTCTGCAGTTTGTGCTACTGACGGCACATCAAATCGGTGGAAAACCTAACAAAAGATTAATGACGTAAGTCGGTGGTACATACAACACAGCAAAGCTCCATTACACTTACACCATTTCCCTAAGATCCATTTTAATAATGTCCTCTCATCTATACCTAGATCTTCTAAATTATATCTTATCTTCAGGTTTTCCAACCAAAATCCTGCATGCATATCTCACCTTCCCCATGTGTGCTACTCGGCAAAATTGTTATTATTATTGATGTTTTGAATCTGCAGGTTTAACTCATTTGGATTGTCCACAGCAAAAGTTAGTTTTACGTGACTTACCTGTGGCAACTGGACCACCACATGGCATATGGTACCTGTGAGATCAGGGTTTGCTATACAAATTTTTCCAGCATAATTGTGGCATTTCCTGCTTATAAGAGCATTCAATTCTGGAAGCATTATGGACGAGAAGAGGAGAGTCTGCCTGTAATATCGACTCCAACCATTTAGAGCCCAAGAGCGGACTCGGGCAAAGTTGGTGCCGTGGGCTTCTCGAGGCTGGAGGTGAAAGTGATCCATAACATGAAGTAAATGATCCCAATTCTGTAACATTAGAAAATGTATTATTTAGATGGTCTATATTGTCTTTCCTTTGTAAGTTCAGTGAAACATTTCTTTACTGTTTCCTTCCTAGAAGAATTAAGATTTCACCACCTGGGAACACTGTATAAGAAATCAAGGGATTACCACAATGGCCCATTAAACAAACTATTGTACTTCATTTCAAGTGCAGGGCTTCTAGAGGGCTGAGGCATAGATAGAGGATAGATTATCAGGGTGCCAGGATCATGTAAATCCTCCATTTCAGCCAAGCAGTACTGATTGTTCCCTTCCTTAGTTTGAAAGGAAACCCTTAAATGGAAGAAGCAACAATGAGCTATAGACACTAATTGCTAGCCACACTAACAAGAGGAGACCTTAATGACCCTATCATGGTTACCTTTTAAAAGAAATCAGGACATCTAATTCTTCAATGTTCACACTGCAACCATATGCATCTTGGCACAGTACGAGATATACCACATCAAACACACAAGTGTTTAGTAACAACAACTGAAGATTTGACTGTCTGACATTTGTTGAAACAGTGAAGAGTTTATGAGTGGTGACACTAAAGCTAATGTTGCTAAGTACCTGCATAAGAAATATGTCTGCTTGATCCAGTACAAGGAGCTCTGCTGATGCAAGGAAGTCAAAATCTCGGTCTTCTTCTCCATCAGCGCCAACAATAACACGCAGACCAAGGGGTGATGCTACAATTATGTCAGCGGAGTAGAAATCGGCATACAGCTACAAAAGAAATGAGCACACTCGGTTGAGTTTAACTTCAATATCACAAGATTTCAGGTTGCATACGGTCCAATTTGTGACAAGACAGTGAAATGTGTGTGTACCACCAGAAGCTGTCAGTACTTGCCAAAATGTTTGGTGAGATTATATTTAATAGTTGCATCTTACATAATCAGTCCGCTTTCTTCGATGTGAGACCTCACATGGAGCAGCATGTGCCAAGATAGTGGATGAACTTTAAATTTATGCATCCATCTTTTAATGCTTGAGAAAAAAATTTATGAATACCTAAATCTGATTTAGTGCAATTACGTGTAGCAGAAATATGCTTCACTCCACTGTAACAAGCATTCAAAGGGTTCTTAGAGGTCTTGGGGCAAGACACTGGGCACTGAGAATGACCTGGGTTCCATCCCCAGTCATATCTGTATGTGGACTCTTCTGCTGACAAAGATAAAATTTTTAGGAAATGCCAGGGGCCTCCCACTGTAGTTGAGAGCTAAAGTTAAACTGTACCTCCTCCTATGCTAACATATTCATAATCACTCCATCAGTGTGGGTAACACAAAGTACCATACCTCATAAATGGGTTGTAGATTTGGCTAGCATTGACATAGGTCAGGGAAAGTCATCATAGACCACACCTAGTGGCATTATAAACCAATCAACTTTCATTCATTAGACTAGTAACGAACCCTGATACTTTTCTTGGTGACTGTAATTCCAATTCGGAAGGTGTCATCAGTGTTGCCTGCAAATGTCAGTTCATAGTCTTCAGGACGAGGTTTCTTCTTTGGCATAACAATTTCACTTCCAGTGAATTCATCAAAAAACCTCTTCTTGTTCATAACATTGGCCTTTTCACCAGGTGTAACAATATCCATGATCATTTTCACCACCCTGTAACATAAAAGCATATCCTTTACTCAGCTCATGTTTTGGCACAAACCATGCAGTCCTAAACAGCCCCTGTTCCAAGTATCAGATTCCAGACTATGATCAACATTTTCACCATGAGAATCTCAGGCCACTGTTTTTTTGACGGAATCATGTTCACAGGAAATAGTTAGGCAGGTACAAATCAGGACACCCTGATTCTAAATAAAAGCTACACCTAGGAATACAGAAGTTTACTGATTGACTACATCTCCATATACCTTAATGCGGCTTCTTTGAATGGCACTAAAATAACCACCTTTGGACGCACCAACCCCTGGTCTCTGTATTCTTCAGGTACTTGATCCTTATTCAACAATCTGTTATTATGATGAATGATTTTGGTTCGTGTTTTCAAAATATGATTCACTGAATGAAGGCAATATGTAAATCTTATTTCCTCTCCATTCTTTAAAGTTCGTTCTGGATAGTATAAATCCTGGTAACCGTTTATAATGGAGAATAATTCCATTTGAAAATTAGTAAGAGGGCTGGCACTTTCATCTTGGATCTCACAAAGGTTTGTATAATTTGCTTTGCTGATATTATTTTGAATCTGTGTTTTGACATGTAATTGGGCCCAATTGACTCCAGTTATTCTGTGTGGGATGATTCCTTCTTTTGCAAATTGCTTTTCATCTTCAAGAGTCGCTTTTGGAACTGACATGGAAATTCTATTTGTTGCCCTTGGTATGTGGGCAGTAAATCGACCAAGAACAGGCCAATGTTGTTGATGCTTATCTACAGATTGGGGTGTTGTGGACATAGCTTCAAGCAAATTTTCTTCCAAATCATAATGGAAATGACGTACAAAAGGATCTAAATCATTGTCAATTTCGTCATGATCGCCTTCAGAATATTCACTTTCACCGTCACTGTTTCCCTCTTCAAAGTGACCTTCCTGTTCATTTTTCACCATTTCACCCTCTCCCACTTCTGTTTTGTCATCTGCCCCTTCTTCCTCGGAACTTGTGTCACTCTCCACTGATTTACATTGGTTCTCGAAATGATCTCCAACAAATGTTTTCAGGAGCTGTTTGAATACATCTTGTTCTTTCTCTGACGAATCATCATACATGTTCACCTCTGTATCTCGGATTTCCTTGGTAATCTTCCTCCTCTTGAAACTTGTTCCTTCAGCATCTTCGCTATCACGCGAATCGCCGTATTTTTTCAGTTGCGCTGCGTTTCTTTTCTGGAATAATTTCGAATTATTTCTTTTGTGGTGAAACCGTTTAGTATTCGTGTGCTTGTGCTTTTTGTTGCCCTTGGACCTCTTGAATTTCCCACGTGCCATTTGGACACAGTACTCTGCTTGCGCCAAATTTCACTTATTTCTCATCAGCTGCAAAGTACTTCCGATTCCGTTCCTGCGTGCACATGTAAAACAAGACTTTGCCGTTTTGTAGCCCCCTCCCAAACAGTGTTAAATGAAAATGGCGGTGCAAGATGGAGGGGGGAAGGATGAGTTAAAAACACAGTTTATAACAAGGGAAGGAACGTATAGACTAATGACGCTCTCAGAATATTCAAGACCCAATAGGGTCGGATATACAAACACTCAAGGCAGTGCTGCTGTTCGTGTGTCGTTTGTAACATTACCAGATCCAAGCGGCAATGGGGATAGAATTTGTTTCAATTTCGGTAGGGAGCTATATGTTTACGTATACAAAGGTGTAAAAAAGGCAAGTACTTTTGTGTGTCACTTCTAATTAATTACGTACGTGCTGTGACAATACTTGTGAATATCTACAACGTGTTAGTTACATAAGTTCAGTGTTGTAACTTTCTTAGAAACAAACCTAACCTAACAAAACTTTTCGTTACAGGCAGCAGATTTAACCAAGCCAGTAGATAAGAAAATGTATAAGGGTACAAATCCGACTTGCCATGACTTCAATATGGTTACAATGACACCTGATAGTGTGTCCTTAGTTGTGGGTTTTTCAACAGGACAGATACAGCTTATTGATCCTATCAAGAAGGAGCTTAGTAAGCTGTACAATGAAGAGGTAATTCTGTTGTTAATATGTAGTTGTAGAAGAGTGCAATAACTTTGTTCTTTGGAGAAACTAGTTATATGACATTGCTCTTCTTAATTGTGTTCAAAATTGTCTTTACCATTTTTCAGCTTTGCTTGAGTTTGTTTACATTAGATGATTGGTAATGTATTATAAGTACATAACATAAACTGGTCATGTAACAAATTGTCATTTATTTCAAAAATAGAAAAGTGTACTGAATTGTAAATATTCATATAGTATCCTATAAGATGACTTAAGTAATCAAACTGAATCTAATCAAGTACAAATATCATTATGTCAAAACCTTTCCTCAAATGTGGCATCATGGGGAGGGGCAAAAACCATATTCTGCTCTTTAATCTTCAATTTTTGTGTTTATTAGAGGTTAATTGACAAGACAAAGGTAACATGCATCCGCTGGGTACCAGGATCAACAAACCTTTTCCTGGTTTCACATAGCAGTGGCCAGCTGTACCTATATAATGAAGAGTTGCCATGTGGCACGGCCCCACCCCACTACCAGCCTTTCAAACAAGGTGACGGCTATGCAATCCACACATGTAAGACCAAAAGCACACGAAATCCTCTCTACCGGTGGGTCATTGGCTCTGAAGGCTGTTGTATCAATGAATTTGCTTTCTCTCCGTGTGGTACGTGTCTTGCTGTGGTTTCTCAGGATGGCTTTCTGCGGGTTTTCCATTATGATACCATGGAACTCTTAGGATCAGCAAGGAGTTACTTTGGAGGATTTCTGTGTGTCTGTTGGTCACCTGATGGACGTTATGTTGTTGTGGGGGGTGAGGATGATCTTGTTACTGTGTGGAGTTTCCATGAAAGGAGGGTTGTTGCAAGGGGACAAGGTCATCGTAGCTGGGTTAGTGTGGTAGCATTTGATCCCTTTACCACGTCATACAGTGAACAAGACAGTGCAGTGGACTTCAGTGGCGGATCAGATGATGAGACTACCCAACAGAACCACACACCAAATTGTACATTGTCTAGCGGGAGTAGTGAACGCAGTTCAGTGACTCGGAATTCGGGGAACCAGGCTTCAAACAGGAACTCTTCTGGTTCAGACTTTAATCGCATGAATGCAGCAACTTGCTACCGCCTCGGTTCTGTGGGTCAAGACACACAGCTCTGTCTCTGGGATATTACAGAAGATGTCTTACGTCAGCCAATGTGCAGTAAACTGAGGACTAGTGGTGTCGGTGGTTCCGGAACGTTTGGTGTGAACGGGTTAGCGATGGGTGGCGCATACCATTTGAACTCTGTGGGTGGCTGTGTGCCCAGATGCAACAACATGTCCACAGCAATGCAGGCCAACACTGTAGCAAGTAAAGAAAAGGAATGTATTGCAGATGGGAATGTAACTCATTTCCATGGTGTGAACATGCACAATAATTCATCAGCAGGTGTCACTGCGCCATCTCTTACACAGAGAATCGCTGGACTTGGTTTTGGTGAGAGAAAAGAGGGAGGTGGCACTCACAAACGAAATTTTAGCCTCCCATCTCGCAGTGGAACCGCTGGAGGTGAAAAAAATAATTCGTCATATCGAGGAAGTGGAAATTCAAATCGTACCTCAGCAGATGACCCAATGAGACTTATTGGAACCGGTGCCTGTCCGAGGTTTGACGAGTGTCCCGTCCTGGAGCCCCTGATATGCAAGAAGATTGCTCATGAACGGCTCACAGCTCTTGTTTTTCGAGAGGATTGCTTTGTCACTGCGTGTCAGGATGGTTATGTCTACACTTGGGCAAGACCAGGAAGAATGGTGAGTGTGTTGTAATTTGTAACAAACATGAACTGGGAAGTTAGGAAAGTATGTATGTAGTGTAAACTGTTACAACCCAAAAATTAAGGTAGCAGTTTGCATGTACATCACAGACTTTCATAGTTTTAATTCAGTGCAAAGTAGGTACAGTTTTACATTGATCAAAATTATCACTTTGAATCCTGAAGCTCATCTAACATAAGTAATATGTGAATACCTCAAAATAGTCTGTGTCTCCGATACAAAGGTCATTTGGTTAATGCTGTTTAGGGAAGTAATTGCTGTTTATTCTAAGAATCATATAAAACCCTTGTATACTACACTTTGGGCAAAGTGCAGCATTATTATTAGTTAAAGTAGGTGGTACATATAGTTAGCATTGAGCTTTAAAGGGTTAATAAGGATACGAGTCTTGACCCGCATGCTGCAGGTCTGTTGAGGGAACAGTCCTTACTTGCCGGCTCTTAATACTAGGCTCCTTGAATTCTGCTGAGTAGTTTTTGACATGTAACACGTACATAGGATATATGAAACTTTCTACAAAAGCATTCCACGCCTTTTTGACAGGGTCTTGCTTCCCACATCCCGTCAAGCCCGACTACAGTGACGGCAGCAGCAGTCGGGGGAGGCGTTGGTCCCAGCGGCACGGTGGTATAGCTGGTCTCTCCCAGCCCTTGTCGTGCTGGGCTCTTTCTCACTGTCTCCCTCCTCTTCTCAGTAAGTGACTCATTCGTGAGTTATGGGATTATCATGGCATCCCTTAATCCTTGTTTGCATTATAAAACTAATGTGAAAGCGTAGTGACAAATTGAAAATATTCAATGTGAAAATTTTAAATTCCCATAAGTATGTGAAAACAATTTAAAATAAGTGTTTACAAGAATTTGCAGGTGCTACACATAAAACATTATGACATGAAACCCATTCTCTCTTATTATTTCAGTTGTTAAACACAAAGACTTGTTCACATCAGTTTTATATTGTGAACTGGTCCAAAGTCCATGTTGCCATTTGATCCAGTATTTTATTATGTAACTCTTAGGTATGTAGAGTGGGAGTGAAAGTTGAGAACGTTGTTCTTCTGTCTACGAACGGAACGAACTGACTTGCATTGACAGTTGTTCCTACCAGTACAGGCTTGAGTAATAAAGTTGAATGTGACCTGCAAGAGTAATTTTGAGTGAGATTTCAATCCAGAGTGATTTTCGTAAGTTTTTATTTACTTTGAATTGTAGTTGCTTAAGAAGTCCATTTGCCGCCTTACGGCTTTAGAGACGGTTGTAGAGACAATAAACATGTTTCACCTACATGTTAACATCATGTTTATATAATGCTTTCAATAATGGTTTTGAATTTGAGTGTGAATACTTTCATTTTGTTGTGTAGTAGTGAACCAGAAGCAAGTATAATTGTTTTCAGTTTTAATTTGTGTGGTCTTGGTCTCATTTTTAAAGCTTGGGCCATGTAGGTGATAGATGTTCTGACTGTGACATCATTTGCGTAAGGGCCTAAGGTTTGAGATTGCCAGGTAATGAGAATTGTTGTTCTGGTATTATCTACGCAGGTTCCGTGAAAATCACATGTACAGTGTTGGAAGTTTAATAACGTGAAGTATTTATGTTCTTACTTGGGTACGGAATTGAAAATTCTACTGTTTGTGGGTTCCTTTGTTATTAATAAAGTATATTTAGTGTTTGCAGCTCTCTTTATGTTGCATGTAGGAGAAAGGCCTGCAGACTCTTATCACTTTAATAAAATATTGACTTCATCGTGGTTTCAACTTGTGAACGTAATAGTTTGTTCCCATACAAAACAAGTGTGAAACAGATTTCAACAAAATTACTTGTTTATTTTTATTGCCAGGAATATGGCTGCCTGTAGAAATGTCTCTCAGTTTACTCATCTTTTATAATAGAAGTATTATTATGTAATTCTTTAATTTTCACGAACAAGTCTGTGTACAGAAACACATTTTTGAAACTTGGCCAGTGAATCTTCCTTGTAATAGTGCATGTGATGTGTGATGAAATAGTAGTTTACACTGTTAATAATTTAGGCACACAGTATTTGAGTTGGTCATTTTGGAAACAGCATACCGATTGATACCAAAACATAAATTTTCCAGGAGAAAGAAGTATTTAAAAGTGCACCTTTTGTCTATAAAAGTTCTGAATTTTTGAAAGGTATTCAAATTTCAAAAATATATTTAATGTTGTGAAATTAAATATTAATGTGCATTGTCTTACACTTTGAGGTTTTATTGTTATAGCAGATCTGTTTGCACTTTTCAGATTTGTTGATACAAATATTTTTATATTTAAATATTATACAAAAGAATAAAACTATTACATAATTAACAGAATGAAGTGAAATTTTACTGTAATTTGTGAGTAATTTGGCCGTATCTGGACTTTATCTGGTAATCTTTAAATAACTAACTAAATAAATAAATTTGTAAACAGGATCTAGGTCTGTTCTGGAGATTGGCCCAGTTTCTGAAATATTTTGTATACCCAGTTTCTCATACATTTTCATGGTGTTATACTTAATGAAACATGGGACAAATTTACCTTATTATCCTCGTCATCACCAATCCTTATTACAATGCACACATTATCATAACAACAGTTTCAACATTTCTTAACACTAGTGTGGGACACTTCAGATGAGTAAACTTTGTAAGGCACACAAGTAATTTAACTTATGCTTTCTTTTGTATATTTATTAACTGAGTTATTTAAAGGAATCATAACCAGTGCTTTTTCTATGGTGGTACACACTGATATGGTGTACTGGCACCTTTTCCTCAAAATACAAAAAAGATTATTAAAACTGTCAGACATGACTTCAAAATACCACCACAAGTTTTTCTATGGGAAAAAAGTGTGAACTTTAATGTCAGGAAAACAAAAACCTGTTTTATGTGAAAATTATAAATTTTGAGGTTAATCTATTTTTGCTTCATACCCTGTCTGCACTTCATATAACCACTACAGCGCCTGGCATCTGCAACTTGTAGTGTACGGTTAGGTCCAAAATGTCAGATATAAATATGCAGTCTGTTATGTAGCTGGTGTGGGAAGCGTTTGCCTTCAGAATGTTGTTACAGTATTTCTTATATGTCAGTGAGACTCATGCCTGGCAATCTTTGGAAGGGTAAATATTCTGATTTCACATTGTACATTCTAGTAATCTTAGGGCTGTATGATGGTTAGCTTTCTTTTAATTAGTCGTGGAGTGTTTTGTGACCAAAGAAACTTTAGCAAATTTTATGTCTTATGCTATTTTGTAGAACTATGATGAAGTATGTTGCATTCCATTTCTGTGTGGCATTGATTATTTTATTGCATTCATCATTTTTATATAAAATACAAGGCAGCATGACTACAGATGTCAGCCTTGTTCTCAGTAGTGTTATTCGTGCATTACTGAGTCGCTGGTTTTCCGTATGTACTTGTATATCAGAGAAATCGGTCATTCAACTACTCAGTATATATCATAATAATTATGTAGGTAGTACAAGTGCTCTAGGGATGCATTGAATAATGAAATAAGTTTCCATCAGTAGTTCAGTATTGTTTAAAGTGATCATGTCATATAATAATGAAAAGTCCAAATCAAAGCATGTTAATTGCTGGTATTATATCTTATATTTTACTGCTTTCAAATGTTATTGGCAGCTTATAAACACGATGGCATCCCATGTTGCATACATCCTTGTTTGAAATTTGTACTGTAAAATTGTTTTTTAAGTAGCACATAGCATTTTTCACTATCAAGTTATATATTTTGATTTGAAGTCATTTCCTCAGTTTGTCAGATGCTAGGTGTCTAAAAGTTATTTTGCATACTGAAACATATGTATGTTCCATCGTACCTGCCTGAATGACGACCACTGTGATGGATTACTACAAGTTTCTTTTGACAGTGAAGTATTGTAAGCACTGTTTGCTGCGTATAGTTGAAGAGAGATCGGGTTTCATGTTCCATCAGAGTTGCGTGTCACAATTCAGTGCATCTCTAAAAATTCACAGCGTGCTTCGACTTGAGTAAACAGTTCAAAACACTTGTGACAATGGTCCAGTACCAACTTCAAGTACAAGTTATTATTTTGAAGAAACACTTATGCATCCTTTGTCACTATAATACGAGTAACCCTTTGAAGCTTATCTAAGTAATATTTAATATTTGAGTTCTTACCACTGAGGAAACACGAGTCTTACAAGTATCAAGTGGTTAATGCTGTTTAGAGAAATAATTGCCATTTGTTCTGAGAATGATATGAGGGTGGGGGGGGTGAAAAGTCAGTGAATATTAGAGCAGGTGGTGCATACAGTTACCACCACTGTGCTTTAAAGAGTTAAAGTGTTTTTATTCTCAAGGTAGGTTTGTGCAACAGTACTGGGCTTTGTCTGGTTACTGTTGGTGAAATTCTTCATGTAATGGCCATCATCTTAGATTCGCCGCTAAATCATATGTTTGAGGAGAAGGAAGTTGTTGTATGTCTCTCATATTATTCTGAAGCAACAATTAAGGTGTATGAAGCCAATGGAACATGTAATAAGAATTTGTCTCCACTCATTATTTTATATAGGAGGCCCTTTGTACTGTGAAGCAAGAATGGGTTATTTGTGTGAACGAATTTTGTTTTTGAATTGTTTGTTGAAATTTACTAATTATAACGGAAGATAAAGTTATTACATTTTATATAGTGTGGCTGCTGCCCATATTCTGCCAGCAGGGATTATTTTATTACATCAAAGAGTTTAATTCCTCACATATACCAAATACATGTATTGTGAAATAACTGTTTCATTTAGTGGGAACATTAATTATAGTTTTGTGTCCAGCTGTATTCAGATGTAGGGCAGTGTGGTTCATTTTAATAACATCATCCAGCTCAGCACATAATTTGAATCAATTGCTTTGAAAAAGAAAATTATTCTGTGACACTTCAGTTCCTATGAACAACTTGTCATGGACTGTAGTATGATGCTTGTTACAATCCTGGTTGTAGCGCATATAAACATCACAAGAACGAGCTGTCCCTTTGTGGTGGTAGTGATCAAATGCAATCTGAGTTCTGTCAGTTGATCCTTTACTTTTCACTTTATAATAAGTTCAGAAAAATTTATTTATCCTCAAGCTGTCACGTGTGCACTGTAGATACATAGTTTCCGATGTTGGATGAAGTAAACCCATTGTGTTCTGACGTATGTTAATGATGTAGATAATAGTGAATAATATTTGATAAATTTATATTGTGTAACACAGAGATTATACTTCATGTAATAAGTAAGCATTCCACCACCATTTTCTGTGTTTGTAGATGCACAAAACTATTTTGTGTTCATTTTACATGTCATAATGCGAGATACTTTCACAAGTTGATGAGATTTACTGGTTGAACTTTTTTTAAAACCTAGAGCTTTGGGTATATTATATATTTCTGTTCATTTCTCAAACCTTTTGTGAGTGTGTGTCTTTGAACTTTTTTGGGTTTACTTTATTGTACAAACTGTACTGATGTGCTACATCAGGAATGGAACCTGTCTGCCATGAGAGTTATGTAACCACACATTTTTGAGGTGTGTGAGCTGGATACTGTTATAACTAAATATGACATCTGACATTACTTTATTTTCTCTCATAATATTTTTTATTGCTCACGTTGAACAAGTTTGTATTATTTTGCATATTTCATAATGAATAGCTGTGTTTCTACAGAGTATTATGTAAATAACACAGGTGTCTTTAATGTCTGGGCTATGTTGAGAAAATGAGCAGATACAATTACGGTTATTGTCATGTCATATTTACGTGATGATAACGGTATCTCCACGGCAGTGACTGTTGTAAGAAGTTTTCAACAGTGAGCTGGAAACAATGTAAGTAGAGAATTATGTTATTTTGGCTCTTGACACCATGTTCACTGGTCAGAAGATGCCACGGTACTATACATTTTTCTTAAATGTTGGCATCTGGTAATCAGTCTACATGGTGCCAAAAACCAGAAGAACATTGTCATTATTGTCACCGCCAAGAAATCTTCAACGTGAGAAGACATCCCAAATATATCGAGGTATCATTATGCTGCCGCTATCAGACCATAATGCACCGAGTCTCAAAACCAGATGTCAGAGTTGTGATCTGTCTGGTTGAGATCCCCAATTTTAATGAAACATGTTTCCACATTTTTTTTATCTCTTCATGTACATGTCAAAGTTTCATTTCATAGCACTGAACCTCATAAGTTGAGTGAGTGTTGTTAACCTAAGAAGCAGCATTCTGATTCATATTAACCATTTAGTTTATTTGATGCTTTATTTATATTTTACCACATCATTTGAATGTTACAGTTGTGTCATTTGGCGACTAACAGAAGAAACTGTTTCTGCTGAATGCAGTTTTCTTGAAGATAACTTTGCATCTTTGGTTTGCATCATGTTTATTGTTTTACAGCCCAATTTATTATTTTAGTCATCCTTTACTTTTTAAATTCCTTAATCGTGTGCAACTTTTTATAAGTTCTGTAATGCACACTTATTATTCAATGCTTCTATCTGAAAGTGGACAGAATGTGAGCTATGCGAAACACACTTAACCCTCTACTGTCATATGTCAATGTATAATTGATACACTAAAAGTGTTCACACAGTTGTATGTTGATATGTGATCGACAAAAATTCGTTTTGCATTTCTGGTGGTTGTTGATCATACGTTGCTGCAGACGGACATCAAATTACCAAATGCTTTGTCTGGCACCTGCTTCCATCTGAAACAATAACTAAAATTCCAATATATATTTAGGAGACTTGGTGTTCTGAAGTGCTCAGTCGCCCTAGACATCTTGGTTGCAGAAAGCTGCCTGTTCATTAACGACCTATGAAGTAACATTTAATCTGTCAAAATTTGACATTTCTTCCTATCCCCAGTAACCAATTCATTTAGATAAAATACTGCTGACTAGTGTTCCTTACTGTGCATGTTGTGTATGTCCTCCCAGGATGTTGTTATTATAAATTAATTTTTCTAGGTGAGGCAGAGACATCAAACAAAATAATGTTTCAGATGTTTTTAATTTATGTATGGTATTTCGTGGCTCATTAGATAATTTTGGGAGGGATTTGTAATCAGCTGTGCATGTTGATACAAGAGCAGTAAAGACGGTCAGTTTTATGATGTGGCAAGTAATTCTGAATCCAGTTGAATAACATTTTAGTGCAAAATATTTTGTGCGGGGTAGAAGGATATCTTATTGTAATTTTTATGCTGCTCTAAATAACCTTTGTTTATAAATATTGGCAGATGTTTGTGACTGTTCTTAGTTTTCATTGATCCATAACAGTATATCAAAGGTCCAAATTAGGTACAGTTATGAGAAGCAAAATAATCTTGGACTTCAATGGTCAATTATCTGTGATGTAGACTGTGTGGATTGACTTTACCACTTCATGTGGAAACAGTTCCAAAACTAATGTCCATTAGTACTGTCAGCATTTTGCTTATTATGAAATATTTATTGTAACTGTTATTTGAAGTGGTCAGAGGCCTCTCTGTTCAAACTTTTGTAACAAGATCATTTGGCATGCCATGAATTTTATACATTACTTTCACTTTATTAATTTTTCGTGGAAGGATTCTGTAGGCACAAAGTCCAGGTCATTGTGAACTTGTTCAGAATTATTGAATATATCCGAGATTTAAGGAGCTGGGGTAGCTCTGTCAGTATAGTGACTATCTATGGACCGGATGATGGGGGTTCAATCCATGACAGGGACAAAGGATTTTTTCCTCTAGCCTTTGCGTTCAGATGGGCTGTGGGCCCCACCTAGCCTTCTGTACCTAGTTAAGAACAAGTAGGAGCTATACCTCCTTTCTCCCCAAGCGCCTAGATGGTGTATAGTGGGACAGTTTTTTAACAAGAGATTTTCTAGGATTTTTGGAATACCAAATGTGAAGAAAAACATTGACAATTTTAATCAGTGGTTATAGAACATTTCCTCCATTGGTTATAATGTCTGTATCAAATTTATTTTAAAGCCAACTTGTAAAATACATGTGAGAGGTTATGAAACATTGCCTGCAACCTTAGTCTCTACAGAATCTGATGGCACATTTCTTTCTTCTATGTGCTTTTGCTCTTTATGAAGTTCTCCTTAGGTACAACAAATTTTGTCTGCAGTAAGCAGATCCCTGACTGACTTACTACCAAACACATCTTGATGTTGTGTTCATTACTTTCTCTGTGGAAATGTAGGTTATATGAAGTTCCATCAGAAAAAATGTTTTAATAATTTTGTTAAAGTATGTTAAGCTAAACATTTATTCTTTGGTGAGTCAGACCATTCTTGTGCATACACAGACCAACTTTGTCAGCTTAACAAAAGACAGTGTTAAAAATAAAACCAAGCAAGTACTTGCTGTATGGAGAAGTGCAGTTGATTATGATATGCTCATTACTTTTAGCCATAATTGTGTTGGGGGGGGGGGGGGGGGGAAGAAATAGCATCTTATAGTTAGAAGGACCCCAGGCCTTTAATATTTCTAGGAATACAAAAGATGGTGACATCTGCATTGTTTAAACTCTGTGGGAGTAGTGTGCTATTCTTGGTGGAAGTATATTAAATTGTTACAAAGTATTTTCAGAAAATAATTTCCACTTATTTCAAAAAGGGCTAGCAGTTGAAAGTAAATTACTTACCCACCAATGGATGGACTGAACCACTCAACATAATTTTTGGAAGATTACCGAAAATGTTTATTATAATTCATTACCATTATGAATTGCGAAAATTATATACTTAAAGAACATCACGTGCAATGAATTAAAGTAACCAAATTGGCCACAGTGTACATAGAGTTTTAGTTATCTTTTAATAGTTTGTCCAGAACATTTGCAGACCCTCAGGATAATGTCACATCATATGGTGATTTTGAGTCGGTTTTAAATAAATTTGTTGTACATTATTACATTGATTATATTGTCTGCAGTACCTTATATGATCAAATCAAAATATGAAAGAACCATCATGGCTTGCTAAACATTATGATAAGAATGAATATATTTGAATTAAATGTGATAGTTTTCAACAAAAGGGCAACAGCATATGCCTAATGCTGAAAAGTTTGTTTTGTATAAGTTATATGAATCCTTTCAACAGATTAAGTTTACTGATCATGACTGAATGTATTGTTATTGTGTTTGTAAAGATTTATTTGCAATTGTTGATATAAAAATCAATAAAAAATTAAAAATCTGTATTGTGATTTTCCGAAGAATTTGTTATGTAATAATACAATGAAATTGTAAATGGAATTAATAGTAATGAGAGAGTGGGGACATTGGTTCATTAGCTTGTTTGTATTTATGTAAATATACATGAAGATATGAAAAGTAATATAGGTACATAATGTATTTCTGCTTGAATATAAAGCTATGAGGCTATGTAACACTCATGGAATAAAATGTCTAAGCAGAATATAATTGTTGCAATCTGTTTCACTGTGTTGGCACAGGAAACCGATGGTGTGGCATCAGAGAAGTGCCCTGTTCATGTTTCAGTGTTCCAGAGTCCTTGGTGATGCCCGGATCTCGGAGGGGGAATTAAAAGTATAGTTGTGTTTTGACACTCAATACACGTGTTTTGTTCCAGAGTTTGAAGGTTCTTGATATACTTTGTACTAAGAGAAAGAAATACTGAACAGTGTTTGAGAGGAGCTTACTGCCTTCATCATCAGTGTTGTGCCAATAAGCTGTTCTGAAATATTGGTCATTATCTACCATACTACACAGTGCAGCATCCCAGAAACATCCAGTTTCTTATGCAACATTGTGAAAACCTCCCGTCTTTATTTATCTGGATCACATAGTGTAATCCAGTGCATACACTTCTTGGGACATGAAGAAACCACCCACATTACAGATTGGGACCAGTAAAATGGTATCAGCATATGTATTTAATGAACCATTCATGGTGGGATTTCTGAACAGAAGGGAGTGGGAAAATGGGTTTCCGCCCAATAGAAATGAGGGACTAATCTGGTATATGGATGGGTCCAAGACAAGAAAAGGAACTGGTAAAGGGGTGTGTGGATATGGTACAGAGAAGAGGATTAGCTTTATCTTTAGCAATACTCCTCTGTATTCCAGACATAAGTATATTAAGACGTGTAATCAAGAATACAAATGGGGACTATGAAAACAAAAATGTTTATTTTATCAGACAGGCTGTGGTCAGTGGACAAGACAGATATGAGCTCAAGTTAATCCAGGCTTCCTTCAGTCTCAAAGGAGACTGGCAGAAAATAAGAGGGTACATACAACTGATATGTGTGCCAGAACATAAAGGGAATTAAATTTCTGAATGTACGTTGATGGGGCCTGAGGAAACTTGGAAATAGCAGCTAAGTGAGCCATCTAGGACTTGGATATAAAATGCCCAGAATACTCTCAGTCCACACATGTACCAAAACATTCAAGGTGTTTCCTTCAAGAAAACTTGCAAAATAAATTTGCGAACTGTTAAGGTTAAACAGGAACTACTTGAGACAAGTGAAAGGGCACTGTCACTTAAAAGGACATTTACTCAAGCATCCATCAGCTGTTATGAATGGTACTAAAAAAAGTGATTTTCTCAAGTCACAAATGAAGTATAAAAAATAATGTGCGTTTTATGGACACTTACAGAGAAGAGTTTTTTCCATGTGAATATTTAATGACATGCAGTACACCCTAGTATATGCTTTGGCCTTAAAATGAATTAGAGTTGATGGAAAATATACATGTTGGCGTTCTGCAAGCCTACAGTAAGTTTCAGTAATATCCATCAAAAACTCGAAAGAAAAGAGTTCTGCGAGCTGCAGTTTCTTAGGGCTTAAATGATCAGCGGTGAATTAAAATTGCACGTGACAGGTATTACAACTATAATGAAATTATCTTATATCGAGTTTCATCACATTCCGTCAGAAGATTTGCGAAACTTTTGTGTATGCCTATCATGCCGATTTTAAATGCAATGTTATTCGCGGTTTCGGAGTTGCGACTTGCAGGCTCGGAAGTCTTAAAACGTGCTTTTCGGATTTCTTACGAAATCTACCAAAAAGTTAGGTTAGGGAATCGTATCACTATTCCCAACGACCTGAGGATAACCACGAAACTATCGGGCAGTGTAGCCTGGGAAGAATGTGAGTGCTAACAACTAGAATACGTATGAAAAAACGCCTAAATATGTTTTTTTAATAATCTGATTATATAACTATCGAACCTCAATAGTTTAACATACGCTGTACTGTAATACAGTCATTAATAGTGGTAAATGTAGATGTATACAAGAAGCCCTTTTCAAGAAAATGTTTGTCAATATTGTGATACGCAGCCGTGGTGCGTTTCTTAATTTCGTTGGCAACCTTGTGGTCAGTAGTTTGTTTATGGTGAAGATTTGTGTACCAAAAACGACGATATAAGGCTGGCTAAAATTGTCAAAATTTCGTGCAGCTGGTTTTTTAATTACTGCTGTGAATTTTTGTTGGATTCAGTCTGAAGTATAGTGAAATGTTTTATATCACGACGAAGTCAGCAACATGAAGAATATTTGCTTAGTACGGCAGGATGAGAAAGCAGGGGAATTAAACATTGCCCTGGGAGAGGCTACCATTGGAAGGGGCCCTCTTATTGGTGTAAGTAGAACAGATTCGGTAAATGTACAGAACACTGTTGGTGTTTCCCGAAGCTAAAGCTAACCTAACGTAATAAAACAAATTTAAACACAACTAGTAAGAAGTACCATGAGATCAGAAACTGATCTGGAATGGGATGTGATGAGGTACCAATTGTATATTCTACATTGCAACCAACAAATTCCATACTTACCTCTGTGAAGAAAACTTTGTTTGAAGTTTATTTCAGTGTAAATGTATGAGACATAATTACACATATGTTTTTGCATGCACTGTTACTTGTGCCCATGCTCAGCTTTTGGTAGTCTTGAGCTATCCTATAGTCTGACAGTCAGTGCTTGCTCCCACAAAGACAGAACACCAATATCACCTATAGCAGTAGTGTGACATAATGATAGAAGAGTGTTTTACATTGTTCGCCTGGTAGTAATTCCCCATTTCAGCACATTGTTTATGTGATGATCTCAGTTGTGCCTTTGAATTCCTGTGTTCATTCAAGAAATAACAAGGAATGTTAAATCACTGTGGCATGTGTGGCAATAGTTTGAGGTTTGGATTGAATTTAACATGCTTTTGATGTATACATACTTATATAATTTTGTTACTGAAGTTACCAGGTAAGTAGCTGTTTTCTGAATGAATAGTGGCTCAACATGCAAAATTGACATTATTCAGAGAATGGATGTTTGAGTAATATTGTTTGTGTCCTGCATTTAATATTCTGTGTGTTATTTCATATTCAAAATTAAGAATATGTAGATTTGTTCCAGTGCACTGATAAAAGGGTGTCCCGTCAGCATGCTCGAATGAAGTTGTCTGAGGAGGGCGATGTGATCCTTGAGGCAGTAAGTACTGAATGATGGATAGTTGTGTGTTATTATTGCCAGATATGACTTCATGTTCCCAGGAACCTGATGGTGGTAACTTATTTCTGGCTAATGACCATTTGTCTAAACAAGAAATTCCTATCCTTGTATGGAAGTCAAAGGTTCAATACCATATTCATAAGATCCTGCCACCTGTCCCAATCCAGAGCCAAATGAATCTGGTCCACATTCTCTGGCGCTGTCCCATAAGATTCGTTTTATGTTATCTACCCATCTCTGTAGAGGTCTCTCTTCCCATCACTCTCTCCAACTAAAATTTTGGAAACATTTCTTGTTTCCCTCATGGATGCAAACACCCTCAATCTGTGTTCTTTCAGTAATGTGAGAGACCAAGTTTCACACCCACATATATATATATATATATATATATATTTATTTATTTCTCTTTCCAGATTCATACCAATCCTTTCTTTTATATAAAAGGAGAGAAGCCACCTGTTGAAGTTAGCAAAGGTGATTTTATAATCATTAATGATGGTGATGAGTTTACACTTCTGCCAGACAGCTATCGGTACCGTATTATTATACGCTCCGAAACTGGAAGTGACCAGAATGGCCACGTTGAAGCCGAACAGAGTACGACTGAAGCACAAGGCACACGCCAAAATCACAAAAGACATTTACCAGCATGGATGTTAAACCTCACTAAAGATGGCTTATGTAATAATAACATCAAAATGCCAAGTTCCTCAAAAGTCTCTACAAGTCGACGAAAGAGGGAAGATGTCATAAAACATGAGAACGCAGTTCAAAAGAAAGTAAAAGTGGACTCAGAGGACAGTTCTGGATCAGAAAAGAATAAGAGGTTAATCGGTAACGATAGTAGTCTTGATCGTGATGTGTCAGAAAGTAAATGGGAACCTCAGCAGACAAAATTTCATGAAATGAGTGATGATGAGGATGGTGGTACTACTGATGGGCAGAAAGTGGAAGCAGAGACTGGAGGACCCATTGAGGACGAACCAAACACTACAACCCAGACAAGTGATTCAAGCGTCAGTGTCACGCAACATGAGACAGCAAAAGTACAAAAGAAGAAGTGCGTATATGGAGCAAAATGTTACAGGTAACGTTCATATTGAGTTATGAAAAAAATAAACACACTTATCACACAAGTTGTCCTTGTATGTTAAGACATTATATTTTTAGTACAGTGTCTTTGATGATGACTGGTAAAGCCCTCATCTCCCTGTGCAGAATTAATTGTACACTTATGAAATCCTGGATGATTTTCCTTCAAAATATTTGTAATAAAATTTCAAACCAGTGGCCAACTGTAGTGTATCTACAGCTGAAGCTACTGAGCTGGTTTCTTTCACTTCAACACCTTTGTAATGTAAGCATTCTAAGTAATTAGTGCTGTTAATATAAATTTTATCTTTATTATTAGAAAAAATCCACAACATCACGATGAATTCAGCCATCCTGGAGATCCAGATTATGATGATGACCTCCCAGAATGTCCGTACGGTATAACATGTTACCGCAAGAACAAGCAACACAGGCTTGACTTCAAACACTCTACAAGACCATGCAGGGCAAAAAGGCCACAGACCAGTAAGCTTTACTTCTTTAGTGCATACTAACCACTTGCCATTTCTCTAAAAGCCTTCCACCTATGTTGGTCAAATCACTGCTGCAAAGGAGAACCAGATGTCACTGTTGATGAAACATGTAATTTCATGGTGATTATAATTGTAATGGGTCACAATGATTGGGACACCACAAAGGAGAACTAATCAAAAGCTGTGTCCTTTATAATCCATTGTACTTCAGTTCCACTTAGAAATCATTACAGAACAGAGCAGTTTGATTACAAATCTGTCCTCCCTGTGAAAACTAACACGTGTCTCGTGTTATCATGATTGAGTAGAACAAGTTGATAATGGATGGACACAGCACTGGTTGTACTCACAGGAAGGTCTGAACACTGTGCCTCCACCCCCTTCCATACCCATACACACATAAAATACAAACTAATAAGACTTCTAAATGCATTTAACTCAAATTATTACTTTCTGTTCTGCAGAAAACCAAAACTCTGACAATGAGGATGATGATGATGATGATTATGATGACCCATTCCTAAATGATGCAAGTTCAGATGACTACCAGCCTACAGGTAGTGGGTCGGACATTTCAGATAGAACAAGCTCAGGAGATGAGGAATCGGATGCCAGGAGGATGATGAAGGAAGCTAAGACATTTATAAGAAAGAAAAAATGAACATGATCTCCATGTGCACACCTGTTTTCAAAAAGTGTAAATTGCGACTGTGAATTGTTTTTTTTACTTGTTTAAAATTTTCGTTTTCTGTGGAGCAGTGCTTAGGCAAGAGAGCCGGCTGGCAAGATGATGTACAGAGGTTGCTGTTGGCGCGCTTGATCACAAAACTGCCAATTAATCAAGAAATTACTTTAAAAGCTCCTGAAAATGAGGCAAGATGATCAATAATCAGACTAGGAGGAGGTCTACAGGACACTGTGTTAATCGTGTTTGCCAGTACTGTAGGGAGAAACTACACCCCATGGTTATCAGAGGATTGTACGGCAAGAGGACATAGGAGATACTCACTAGCCTAGCAATTTTGAGTTTTATAGTAAGTAATGGAGGTAAGTGTCCACTGACACACACAAACAAGCCAGTGGTTACTAAGCATATTAGTCTAATAGTGTGTGTGTTAGATCTGTTAGTCTGGCTATGGTGATTGGTAATGCAGCAAGTTGAGAAGACTGAAGTGTTATGGCCAGATCTGGAACATCCCTTCAGATATAAATAATGTAAACTCTTCCTTGGGCCTGTTATCCAAAGAACACAGAGTAACAGTTGACTGTAAGGTAATGAAGATCATGAAATTATACTGGATTATATCAAAAAGTTTCATATAGGTGATAGGACCAAAAATATATCCTGCAGACTCACTGCTGTGAAAACCTCAAATCCTACACCAAAAATATAATTCTGCAGGGATGAAGTTCATTTGACTGGTATGATGGAATTATTGAATTAGCAACTGTCAGTTACATTTATATACCAACCACTTTAATAAACATTCTTTTATTGTTTCTACACACATAATTTAATCTTAGGAATAAATTTAAATCACCTTGTTCAATGTGTATGGAAGGTTTCAGCATCCTCCTCCTAACCATAAATCAATTTCCATTCAGTACACTGGGAAGAAAAAGTAAAAAAATTCTTAAAGAAGTTAGTAACAATGAAAATTGTTCTTTGTACTTTCAAACAATATTTCAGTAAGGATAATGCAAACATAACTTCCTGATTTTGCTAATAGAATCCTTCGTCTTCCTCGAGGAAGTTGCCCTGTGTTCCGCTGATAACGTCTGCTAACATGTGTTTTGGAATCTCGGAGCCTCGAACATGAATTGTGTAACAGGCTACCTCCATCTTGCTTAGACTCTGGCGCAGTGTCGCAAGTTTCCGAGACATCTCCTTCAGTCCTGTACAGTTGACACCCAAGAATCCACTATAAATCTCCCTCACAAATGTGCAGGTCTGATAGCAACCTTCTATGTTTCCTGATCCCAGGTTGTTGATACATTTCCGCATCAGCTCTCCTGTTAAATCTGCTACTCCCAAGATGTAATCCACTGGTGATACGTAAGTTTTAAATGAGCCATCTTCATCATTACTGCTGGCAGAGCAAGTGGCTATGGCCTTCTCTTCAGTTGTAGCTACACTCTCATCTTCACTAGGTACGTCACTGTTTCTATAGTTAAGGTCTTGTTGAATCATAGTCCAGCTCTGAAGGCTGTTGTTCATAAGATAATCGCGGAATGTAACTGCTTCGACGTATTCCTGCAAACCTGCCACATATAAATTGTGATTACTATAACTAATGGAACATGTATCTAATGTGTGCGACTTATTGAACTGTGTAGACTCCCCTGTTAACAGTTCCTGTACTACAATTTCACTCACCAGCTGTATATGCTTTTATATACTGATAAGGATCTTCTCCCTTTAGTTCTTTGGCTATAGCCTTGAAATGCGTGTTCACAAGCTGCGTCAGGCGCGATGATGCTTCTGCCAGGATAGCATCTCTTTTGCTTTCCCTGCAAAAAATCACTCTCTGGTATAAGAAGGCAGTACTTAAAAATAGTAGATAATGTGCAGTGAGGTGCAAGTTTATAGCACAGGCACAGATTGAAATAAGAATAGGAAGCTGAAATTTTTCTTTGTTATGAGTATATTCTACCTGCAGATAGAGGAAGCAAGAAAATTACCTGCATAATCCAAAATTTTGTACCAAAGTCCTAAGAATGTCAAATTGCAATCACTCAGAGTAGGCGTAACAACTCCACTATTACTTTAGACAAACCTGCTGTATCCTTGTTCAGGGCTGAAGTCGCACTCCGAATATGGAGACAGCATGTTTCTCTGAATCACCAGTGTCTACCAATGAGTCTACATAGCATCACAGACCTGAAGAATGATGATGTCTTGACTGCCAAGAGAACCTCGAAACTCCATTGAATAATTTTCATCTCAAGGTTCTCTTCTGCTGACTTCCTTAAGTGAACTCTTAAATAATATTAAAAAAACCTAACCTCCATAAAGTAACAAGGTTTAGGATGCTGCTGTCCCCTTACCGATCCAGCGTGTGGAGCAGAAAGATGATTCTCTTGCTCTCAATAGTGACGTCTCGACTCAGCTTGACGATTCTTTCAAATTTATCGTGCTTAAAGTCCAGTTCAGAAGCATACTGTTGGAAACTCTTTATTACTGGTGAAGAGGTATCAGTTGTCTCAAGAAACTCTTGTGCTTTGTCTCCAACACCATGTTTGTTTCTTCCTCCATGATACCCATTATGTTTTCTATCTGATCGACCCCTTCGACCATGTCCTGAACAGTGAACATCATTACACAATAACTTTTTAGGTTATAAATAATACACAAGTTACATTGAACTCGCTTAAGCTGTACATACTTAATGGTTTTTAGTATATGAGTTGGTATATAGAAGAATTTGTAGGTTAATCCTGATTACCTCTTTCTTGGTATGGCATTTGACCGTACACAGTCCTTAAGTAGACCTTCCTATCCCCAATCACATGGGAAAGATGACCACTAGTAGATTTAAATATTTAACTGTGCTGATGTGAATAATAAATTTGGTCTTTTGAGCCGACAAAATAAACCTTTGTTCTATAACAAGGGTTGGCAATACATCCCATCCCGTCCGTATTTATGCATGTAACGTCAATACATGTTGGTAATGCGTTCAAACACTATCGAAAAGAAAGAGTAAAAAAAACAATCGAATTACTCACAGTTAATCTTTCGATTATCCCCATCGTTAATTATGTACGGAAGTGGTTGGATATCAGATTGTAGGATGAAGTTACATTCTCTATTGCGACACAAAATGACAGGGGATGTAAACTGACGTTACTGATAAAAACGACAACACATAAGGTTCACACTTTGTTACATAATCTTATCGTTGTAGGATTAGTATGTTTTTTGACAGGAAGACGTGGCGAAAAGACTGAAACATAAATATAAACTTGTGAACATACGACAATGTAACATAATGAGATAACAGGATTAGTAAGTTTCGTGTCGTATTAGCTCAGTGTTGCATCTTTACACACCGGAAGAGTTAGGCACATTACTTAAAATGGGTCTGTGTAAGTGCCCGAAGAGGAGAGTTACAAATCAGTTTTGTTTTGAACATCGTGTAAATGTTTGTGAACACTGCATGGTGACAAATCATCCGAAGGTAAATTTGTAATTCAAAATCATTTTATATTTAGCGAAATCGTTACTAATAAGTTGTATTCAGTTTGATGTTTCTGTGAGCTTAAGACATGCTTTCGCTTTCTTTTGCAGTGTATAGTTCAGTCGTATCTGCAATGGCTTCAAGATAGTGACTATAACCCAATTTGTGAACTATGCACGAAAGAGCTAGCGAATGAAGACTGTGTGCGACTAATTTGTTACCGTGAGTTTTGAACACATCTAACATTTAGAAGTATACCATATAAGTGCATTTCTTCAGCTTTGTGAACGTTGTAGTTATTGCAAGATTAGTTATTTATTCAGGTATATATATGCTTTACCTAAGTGAAAGTTTCCTACATTTATTTATTTAGTAACAGTTATGTAAAGATCAGTAATGATAAATATTGTGAATTATTTTGAACAGATGTGTACCATTGGGCATGTTTGGACCAATTTGCCCGGCAGCTTCCTCCCACCACAGCCCCAGCAGGGTATCTTTGCCCGTCTTGTAAACAGGGACTTTTTCCTGCTAACAATCTAGTGTCCCCTGTTGCTGATGTGTTACGTGAGAAGCTGGCTGGAGTCAACTGGGCCCGTGCTGGACTTGGTCTTCCGTTGGTAAATTGCAGTTTATCTTTTGTTAAAAATGTCATCGGGGCTATGTACATACACAGCGACTAACATTGCCACCCAGAAATGTCATTTCCTGAGCAAGATTCATGTCCCTGCATTTTTGGGTATCAATATTAGCCGTGACAATGTAAACATTGTATTGTTACATTGTCAGTGATAGGTGAGTATAAATATTAATGGAATGATAACTTTCATATAAAAATTTAAGAACTCTGATAAAAATGTGCCCTAGTGTCATTTGTGTTTTCCATAAAAGTGATATGGAATGTTTCCATTGCTGTATGTATTGTATATTGTAACACAATGCACCTGGTTACAGGCAGAATGGGTGGCATTTCATTCCCTACAGGAATTTTTTTTACCACTGTGATGATCTGGCTGTTGTCCATGCTACCTCCTGTACAGTTGGTACCCTTGGGCTCTTTTACCAGTGCAAAGTGGCCAGAGAATGAAGCTATCCCCTCATCTCTGCCAAATACTAAGATTAATGCTTGAAGCTATACCTACACTTCCACATACATCTTAACATAGTTCTTGGACACAGGACCGATTTACCTTTACCATAACACAACATGACTACATGTCTGGCGTCATAATTTTTTGTTGTTGTTGATGAAAACTATTAAGAATAACTTACAACAATGAATGGGAATTGTGTAAATTCTTATGCCTAGTAAAGGGTCTTGTTGTTAAGATGACCTGTTTGTTGTTATTTCCGCCTGATTGCCCTTTAGTGAATTATTTCCTCTTTTATAGTTGAGCGAAGACCATGAGCGAAAGGCATCTGGGGAAAGCAGAAAGCTTGTCACAGACGATGTTTCTCCTGTTGTCTCGATCAGTGCTGAAGAGCTGGGGCCACCATTGGTGCCTCATTCTGAGGTTTCCAGTCAAAGACAGAGCACACCCAAACGCACTGCAGCTCTGAGTAGTTCTGTTCCGAGTAGTAGCGTAATGGATGGGACTCTTCACTCTGTGGTACACATGGAAGACAATGTGTCTGCGTTCAGTCGGGCAGAGAGTTTTCCTGCATCAGGTACGCTGCCATAAGCATTAGGTGCAAATTATCTCTACCCTGAGGAAGTTGTTCGCTTCTTGTTTGCATGTGCAGTCTCTTATCTTATTATAAAAATTTGTGATTAGTCGTTGTCGTCAAAAAATGATGTCATCAACAATGCCACCTTATATTTGTTTACTCGGCATTGTTGTGGAACACAACAATGCCGAGTACAACACAACAATGCCGAGTAAACAAATAATGCTTAGTACCAAGCCAGTCGCATTATCACTGCTCTACAAGCAGCACAGCGTCTCCGAACAGCGGCATTAGACTATTTAAGAAATGAAGAAAAGTGAAAAACGTTACCAACACCAACAAGGTAATCTGATACTAATAATAATATTCATCCAAGTCATACTGCTCATTCAAGGGTTAAAACACTTGAATAAGACACTAAATTAACCCCCCGAAGGGGGTTAGTTTAGTGTCTTATTCAAGATTTTAAAACGCAATAATCCCCCCAAAGTCAGGTGTTTTAACCCCCATTCGGGGAGGGGGGTTAGTTTAGTTTCTTACCCCAGGGGTTAAAGCACTTGAATGAGACACTAAACTAAACCCCCCGAAGGGGGTTACTTTAGTGCCTTACTCAAGATTTTAAAACGCAACCAACCC